CTTTTTTTTTTTTTTTTTTTTGATACCGGGGATAGAACTTAGGACCTTGCACTCGTGAGGCCAGCACCACTGCCACTGAGCAAAACCCCCGGCCCTCTCTTTACTCTTAATATTTCTGTTTTCTGTTTGATATTTGCTCCCCCTGTGCTACCTTCACAGAACTATTTTGTGGCTGTTTCTTCAGGAAGCTGGCAGGTAACACTGTGCACTCAGGAAAGCAAGCTTGCTGATGCAGGGATCTAGCTCCTATTGCCCACACCCGAGATGGAAGGACGTCTGTACCACAGGAATCCTCCATACTCACTGACATCTGTGACCTAATCTGAAGTCTCTAGCAGCTTCTATGGCAGAGGGGAGGTGGGAGGGAAGAGGGAGAAAGGGGGAGGAAAGTTGTTTCAGAGGAGTTTAAAAAAGAGGGAGGGAGGTAGGAGGTGACCAGCGAACTCCAGTATCTCACACTAACTTGCTTCTGGACTTCTTAATTAGGAGACACATTGTAAACACCTGAAGAATCCTCCTGAATCGATAGGTCAACTTAGCCTAAACTTTTAAAGACATGCCCTTTAGAGTAATATCTCTCTAAAAAGAGAGTCTTGCTGTTGAAAAAACTGAAAGCAAAGAATGATAAATAAAGCCACAATGTGAGTGTATGCTGTATCTTGGGCTTTACAAGGCAGTTTCCAGAAAATATCTCCAGAAAAAAAGGGCTGTTGGCTCTGATCCCTTGGTTCCAAGACAAGAGAACCACAGAACTCATATCCACAGAGCCAAGGACACTTTAAGAGACAAGAAGCCCAAAAAAATACAGGTTTACATCTGTATTTTTAATGCTTGTAATTAAGGAGAGGAAAACTGAGGCTCAAAGAAGTTGAGAGGCTTGCCAAAGGTCCCCCAGCTGGTAAGTTCCAGAGCCAAGAGCAGACCCATGGCTTCCTGTCACCTAGAGCCCTTCTCATTAGGCAACGTGGTCTGCAGACACCCTCAAACCCACTGCAAGCTGCCCAGATGTGTGGGGTTTACAACTACTGAAGAGTGACAGAGAGGAAAGCAGGCTGGAGCTTAGGAAGTCCCAGGTCACAGTGGCTTCAGGACCTGCCCAAAGCACGCAGAAATCACACGCAGCAGCTGCAGCCAGACGCAGCCACATCTGGAGGAGGTCTCTTCTCCATCACCACCCTGGGCCCTTTTTCCTCCTCAGAGCCCCCAAAGGCATCTGGTGGGACCCTACGTGGAACCACATCCAGAAAGGCGCTAGCAGGACTCTGATTGAACCCCACAGGAGCTGTGGCTCCCCACGGGCTGATCCCTGTGTGAATCCTTGGTTTCTTGGAGCAGGCTGAATGGTAAACTCCTCCCTGCAGGGTGTGTCCACAGCCATTGCTGGGATGAAGTTATTTGGGAAAAGGGTCCTTGCAGATGTGATTAAGCTAAGAATCTTGAGATGAAGTCATCCTGGATGATCAGGGTGGGCCCTAAATCCAATGATGTGAGTCCTTGTAGGAGAAAGGCAAGAGGACCAACAGGAGTGATACAGCCACAGCCCATAGAACAGCAGGAGCCAACAGAAGCAGGAGGCAGGGAAGCCCCTGCCCCAGCCCTTCAGAGGCTGCACAGCCCTGCTGTAACCTTGATTTTGGATGTTTATACTCAGAAATGGAGAGAGATTTTAAATTTCTGCTGTCTTAAGCCACTGTCATTATCTAGCAGATATGCTTATAATCTCTATGGATGGAAAAAGACGAGGGTTCACAGATTTACAACAATCAGAATGGTTCGCCAACAACAGGCCAGAGAAATAGGGCAGTGTGGAGACCAGCTCTGCTTACACCTGGTGACCAAACCCAGTTCATTCACAAGCAGTCACAGATCTTGTGCTGACCCTGCAGGACGCTGTTCCAAATCACACACCCAGCTAAGGAAGCCGGCACTTGGGTGGACCCAGAATCTGAGGCTGAGTGCATGCAAACGGCTCCCAGACGGCCCACTTTTGGTAGCATTTCATGGAAAGTTACCACACCTTGAGCCCCACAAGTGGCCTTCCCTGAAACCTGCAGCCAATTTGGGGAAAGGCCTCTGTGGCCCCAGTGAACATGGAAACACAGAGTTCTGCTTATGGAGCAAGCAGGTGTTTCTTCAATATGGCATGTTCTTGGATCCAGCTTTATTTTAGATATTTCTTCCTGCAGTCGCGGAAGTAAGTCTGAAGCTGATCCGCACACAGACACACACATGCAGCCCTTCTGCATTCCAGTCCTTCCAGGGGACAGATTTCCACGTGTGGACTAATGAGACAGCTGTTTCGATCTGCACCTTCTGCAAATACCATAATCTCAAACTCAGGGGCTGGGCTCAGTGTCTTCCTGTCACTCTTCCTATGGCTGAACAGCTGGGAAATGGATCTAGCATTTTGTTATTGTTCTAAAATGAAATGTCCTGCTCCCAACTCCACAGGTTTATTTCAGTCCTACACAGGCCACACTTGGGAACTCCAAGGGAATTTCTGCTGGGCTCTCTGGGACTTTGAGGGGGGAGAGTGAGGGATGGATTTGGGTGACAGGCAAGGGAGTGCTCACCAGCATACTCTGAGCACCATGGTGTGAGTGCTCAGACTTCAAACTAGCCTTGGCTGGCTCACATCCCCTTCCCCAAAAGCTTTGCCGGGATGTGCTTTTCCTGGAGTCAGAACCCCAGCCGCGAAGTATTGTTGAGCTGCCAATTAAGCGTCACTAGAGAGGCCACAAGGACTCCTGCCACCTCACTCAGTGTGTGTGTGTGTGTGTGTGTGTGCGCGTAGGCCAGCCTCACAGGCTCTGGCTGGTGCCACACCCCAGAGTGTGAATCAGCGGGACTTAAGTCACCACACTATCAGGGTAGGAGTCGTCTCCATCCTCCTCCTACCCACAGGATGTGCAGTGGGCTCCCCAGCCCCCATCCCCTCCCAGCTTTTTCAATAAATTTCAGGTGAAAATCACGTGGCCTCAAACTAACAATGCGTGGCAATGCGTGGCAGTTAGTACATTCTCCATGGCCTTCTCTCTGGTTCCATAGTATTTTCATCACTCCCAAAGGAAACCCTGACTCCGCCAAGCACTCTCCATTTCCCCTTCTCCCTAGCCACTTGTAACCATCCAACTGTTTTCTGTTTCTATGGGTTTATCCATACAGTCATAGAACGTGTGGCCTTTGTGGCTTGAAGTCTGAGTGGTCCCACCACAACAAAGGGCAGTGGTTGGTGCTGTCCAACCTGTGACCTGGCCTCTTTCACACAGCGTGTTTTCAAGGTCGGCCCATGTCGTGACAGATAATCCACTGTGTAGCTGTACCACATTATATTTCTCCACGCATCCATTGCTGGGCACTTGGGTGGCTCCCGACTTTCACTATTGGGAACAGTGCTGCTGGGAACACGTGGACATTTGAGCACTCCCGTACGTCTCCGTATGTCTTTGTACCTGCTCTAATCCCATGACACCCTCCACCTTGCTATGATGGCTGCCCACCCCTCTTAGGACAAAGCCCAGACCACGGGATGTGGCCTGAAGGCCTCTCCTCACTTTTCAGCATTGCCTCTCACCATCCTCCCGCCAGCCCACTTTGTTCTTTCAGGTGCTGCCTGTGTCACTGTCACCAAGCCTGTGCAGTTGCTCCTCCCCCTTCCAGAATCTTCTTCCTCTGGCTAAGTGGCAGCTGCATCTGGCCACAGTCATTTCCTTATCTGCCACATATAGTTACACACACTAGGTCTCAGCATTAACAGGCCACCACTGGCCCCTATATTTTATGGGAAGAGCCTACAGCAGGATTTAGGAGGCTGCACTGTCCCTTGTTGTAAAATCCCACAGGAGAGAATGGCCAGAAACAACTTAGGACCCTGTGGATATAAGTACCCTGGGTCCCTGAAACACACCTGTCAGAAGTCTGGATGTGGCCAGGTGGATTTATGTCCTGATGCCTGAGGGATGAAGTTACCACCCTGCGACAGTCACCATCCTGCTCAGCACTGCCATGCCAGCTGCTGGCCCGGCCCTGCTCAGCACACATCCTCCACCCTAGAATGTGGGAGGTATCTTTATGTTCCTCCATACTTGGTTGACATCCCACAGGCCTGTGAGAAGCGAGGCCACTCTGGCCCCAGAATCTGGTGAGAGGAGCCAGAGACAAGCGGTGGTGGAGCCTGCTGAGGAGGAAGGAACTCTGTGACTCACCACAGTCACACCTGAACGACACAGGCTCGGCTTAGCCCCAGATACAGGGTGTTCTGGGTCACACAGGAAGTGGTTTCAAAGGGTGGGGATGTCTGTGCCTCTGCCCTTCACCCACTCTTCCTTTCTCAGCTCCGTTTCTGAGACTCAGTTACCTGGGTCTGTAACTACCACGCGCACACACACACACACACACACACACTCGTACACACACATGGACACATGTACACATATACACCTCTAATGCCCGCTTCTAACTTCTACAAGTAAAAATAGTCTATTTAATCGTCAATATAGCCTTTGTTGTTGCTTTTCTTTCAAATTCTCCATCAATCCAATTTCCACACAAGCTTTTGGTAGAAACTGCCTCTGAACAGAGAAGAGCACACAGGCTCCTGTGACCACCCGCAAATTCTTTTCTTCTTCCATAGGTGACTCAGATGGACAAAGAGGCCCCCTCCCGTGCATTCCTGAGGGCCTCTGAGGAAAATGACTGTAGCTTGTGGGAGCCCATCACTCACTCACCTCCAGGACCTTTCCGGTGATAAACTGGTGACAAGCTTCACACTTTACCCCAAAGAGCCCCTGGTAGTCCTTTTCACAGTATGGGGCACCGTCTCTGCAAGACAAAAGAGTCAGCTCCTGAGAAGAGGCAGTGGAGGATAGTGGGAGACCCAAAACTGTGTGTCTCTGAGCTCTTTTTCTCAGAGAGTAGAACTTATTTCTCCTTTTCCCATCATTCAAGTGCCCAATGACATGGCCAGATATAATCAAAACCACAGACCACAGGGACAGCCAGAGTGAGCAGAGTCCTCCAGGCCACAAAGAACAGCCAAGATGCCATGTGGTCACCACTGCTGGCTCCTTGACAAACTACCAGAAAATCCAGCATCAGTCCCTTCCTCGGGAAGGCCAGCTAGGCTCAGTGCTCATCTGCTTGAGGGGCCCAGGTGGGCCTTCTCTCTCATACCCTCTTCTTGGATGAGGCTCACAGCCCTGACGGAAACTCCTAGCAACCACCACACACCGTCTCTTCAGCTTTCCTTAGCTTTGAGGACCCAGCACCCTCTCCAGCTGGCAACCTCCATATACTTCAGAGCACAATGAAAAATATCATTTCCCACATGCTATAGTGTGGAAACATCAATAAGCAGCACTTTCGACAGCCAAGATGGCTGCTACTGCACAGACTTTGATGTGCGCTTAAAGGCCAAGCATTTTTCTTGTCCTTCTTTGGTATCCTTTGCAGTCACCTGTGGAGCTATTTTTCTTTCTAACCCAGGTGTTTCAGCCTGATGCCCGACCTACTGTGAAATTAGATTTCTAGGCTATGGAACTCATGCCACTTTTGGGGTTCTTTCTATATATATTTACATCAAATTCATTAATTTTTAAAAATAGGTGATTTTGTGTGCTTGGAGAGATTTTTTTCAAAGCATAAACAGATGTAGAACAAGATATTCTCCTTCGCAGCCAGGGTGCTTAACTCTGGCTACCATTCCGAGCACTTGCTGACTCACGAAGCCCTCCCTGGCAGGCTGTCCTGTCTCCTACAGGGCTCAGTGCTCAGGCCTTGGATGTTGGGGAGGGGGGGATCCTGCGAATACGCTGCTCCTGGAGAAGAAACGTTTACTAGGCTCCCACAGGGGAGAAAATAGCCAAAGGGAAATTACTAAACGCTTAATTGGCTACAACAAAGAGTGCACCATTATGTGAACTTTATTGATTATTAAATTAGGCAATGATTTATATTTTATTAGGGGTATAGTAGCCAGATTATAGCAAAAGAAGAATAAAAATCATTTTAAAAAGTTTTATAGCAAGAAGTACTCGGGGGCGGGAATGCCCTTCAGCACCCACGATGGTCTGTCCCCACCACAAGGACCCCATGACCTCAGCCCATCTTACTTGCTGATGTACTCTCCCGTGAGGACCTTCCTGCAGGACTTGCACTTGAAGCAACCCAAGTGCCACTGCTTGTCCAGTGCCAGCAGCGCCTGCCCATTCTTGATGTCTCTTCCGCAGCCAGCACAGTCTGGAAGAGAGCAGCAGGCAGCTGTTATGCCAGGTTCCCTTTGCTGGCTCCAGTCCTGCAGTGCAGCCCTCCCTCACGCCAATCAGCTGGTACTTAAGCACCCTGTCCCTGCATTTTCCTTCCTGCACAGAACTTTCCCAGCAAGTCTCCCTCACACAGTACGGCACCTGCTCGCACCTCAGTGATCCACAAGGAGAGATGTCCTTCACCTGTTAGTTGGCAGGGGCTCAGCTGTCTGGGCTGTGATTCTAAAAAAAGCGCTCAAAGGTTTTTACTAACAGAGGGCACATGTGAATAGGCAATTCCTAGGCAATTCCTGGACCACTGCCTGCAAATCTCATTTCTCTAAATGGGTCGCTACTTGCTTGTCAACCTAAGCCAGCCTTTCAAAGATTTCTAATCATCAATTAAATGGTTCTTAATTCCTTAGCTTTAAATTGTCCTTGGCAGGTTACCGTAGCAGAGAGTGGGGAGAGCCTTTCTTCCTGGGGGAGAGCATGGGCACTGGAATGAGCCTGGTCCTACCTGGCTCCACCCCGTGCTCTTTAAATGTGTGACTCAGGCAAGTCACTCGGCCCCTGTAAGCCTCGGTTTCCTCAGAAGGAGCTAGGAGGCTACTGAACCCATCTCAAGCCTCTGATGAGGACCCAATGAAATAGTGAATGGGGTGTAGCACAGTGGCCCTATAAATATTTGCTGTTACAGTGCCATTGTTTCCTGATGAAATAAATCTCTGTATAAGGGAAGCTGAAAATTGTTTTAAATCCAGAAAAATGAAAGTGGGTGTGAGTTATGTGGAAAGCAAGTGCATCTTCTAAAAACATTCAAAATCTATGAACCCAGGGAAACAAAAATGGTTGAAAGGAGTGGGGGGAATGGGGAAAAAAAGCAGCAAGATATATGTTATACAGGTACAAATTCCCTATGACACGTCATCATTGTGTCTATCTGAAAACGTACCAATGAATGTTTTGTTTAAACACACACACACACACACACACACACACACACACACACACACACACACACACACAAAACAAAAGCAAGCACTCCGGGCAGGTTGATCACAGTGTTCCCAACTACATACACAACGCTGCAGGACAGGCCACTCAGAGGCTGTGAGACGCAAGGTAACTAAACATCTCCCTCTTCTGACCACATCCACTCCTGCTCCCCCCTCACCAAAGACATTTTGAGCCCAACTTTAATTCTCGACTCTCACAGAAACTAAAGATACCTGAGCATCCACCTGCTCCTGCTTCTCACCACCACCCAGCCCATCCCTGTTCCTGTTCCCTGGAGCCTCCCAGCAGGTGCCCAGGCAAGCAAAATCCTGCAGCCCCTCCCCTGCACACCCCATCCACAGCAAGCTCAAGGTTTTCTGGGTGGTTTTCTCCTGGCAGCAGCTAGTGAAGGAAGCCTGGCTTTTTCTCTTAACTGTAAGTGTGTTTCCGATGAGCTTGGTCAGTGGGTACAAAGGTTACCTTTTAGACCTGGAAATTTTTTGTGTGTGTTTGCCCCTTGCGGCATTTCTGCAACAACAGGAACTGCAAATAACCATACAGATATAAATGAGGACTAGCTAAATGAATTCCGGTGTAGTCAACAATGGACCACTACGTGCTGTTAAAAGGAACGAGGAGGGTTCGTGTGCAGACATGGAAAGATATCCAAACAGATCAAGTGCAAAAGGCAAGCTGCAGAACGGCATCTGCGGCTTATTCACAGAACAGTGATGTGCACGTGTGTTTTCTATGCCTAGAACAGGAACACAAGAAATTCTTTAAAAATTTCCCTCTGTGGAGGAGGACTTCAGTTTTTACTGCACATATTTTGCGTTGTCTGAATTTTTTAACCATGAGCATGTGAGTATTCCATAAGTATGCGTGTATAAAGTTAGAAACACAAGTTCTGAACGTCACCAGTTAGAATTTCTCAAAGTATAGCCCATCACAAACTAAGTATATTAGATGGTCACAGAGTACTAAGTGTTTAAAAAGACCAAGGTGTGTGTGTAGCCAGATATTTAATCAAAAATATTAAGGAATCTCACATCTAGCATTTTACCACAAAGATAAAAATGGAAGGCCAAATTTGTTTAAAATACAATTTTGAGGACAGGCACACAGTATAGCCTTAAGATGTGTTGTTTTAATTTGCTATAGTTTTTCAACTGTTCTATATCTTTTTTTTTTTTTTTTTTTTTTTTTTTTTTTTTTTTTTTTTTTTTTTTTTTTTTTTTTTTTTTTTTTTTTTTTTTTTTGTCCTGAGGATCAAACTCGGACCCTTGCACTTGCAAGGCAAGTGGCAAAATCACTGAGCTAAACATCCGGCCCTGTTCTATGTATCTTTTTACCGTTGTTATTGTGGAATCGCCTTCTTGCCTAACAGCTTTGTCAGGCACAATTACTGTCCACATAGGAGCTGAAGTCTGGGGGCTTTTTGGTGAATTTAACATGGACTTTACTGAGCTTGTAGTTCTTTTTGTCAAAGATTTTTTTTTAACTCCCAAAGAAAATCTGAACTCTTCCTGATCTAAAAACTCATCTTTGAGGTAAAGAGTTAAGTGTCTAAAATTTGTCACAGTTCCTGAGGTCAGAAGGAGGAGCTACCTGCACACAGGCTCTGCTGCCCCTTCACGGCTGACAGAGTCCAACAGAAGTGTTTGAATTCTCCAGCGGAAGACGCTGGGCAGGGGAGAGGTGGCGGAGGGCTGGGTTGCTAAGGTACAGGCTACTGTGTTTTAACCCGTGGTTGTTGGAGAGAGGTTCATGGAGAAAGCAAAGCCACTTCTCCTCTTTCTTTGGTAACAAAACAAACTTTAAAAATGGAATTTTTGGTTTATTAAAAATCAGAGAAAATTACACTGTCCATAGCCACAAAGGACTGCTCCCACTGAGAAGTGAACACTGGTAACTCAAAATTTGGAAAGCATTTAGGGACAGAGAAAATTGGCTTTCTGTCAATCAGCAAATGTTCCTGTGGGGATCCATTTTTTGTTGGAATGTGTTATACGCACATGTACTCCACCCAGAGTCTACTGAGTTTTATAAGGTTCTGAAATGACAGCTGGAAAAAAAATCTGGATTTTTGTTAATTTATCTCAGTAAAAGCCCACTGGGACTCACAAACAAAACAAATCGAATAGAATATTCTTAGAGTACATTTAGGTTCCCAGCAAAACTGAGCAGAAGGTGCAGTTTCCGTGTGCTCACCCTTCTTCTGTCCTCCCCCACCCCAGTGGCACATTTTTAATAATGGATGAAAGAACGCTGACATAACATCATCACCCAGGTCCACATTTACACTGGGGTTTAGTCTCGGTCTACACAAGTTGGACAGTCTAGGTTTGGACAAGTTTACAGTGACGTCTATGCCATGCTATGTTATTGCACCACCCAGAAGTTTCGCCGCCCTAATCAACTTCTGTGTCTGTCTCTGCGACCTCCTCCCACTAGCCCCTGAGACCACTAAACTTATTTTTAATCTTCATAGCTGGGCTGTTTCCATGATTAGTTTTTAACCCCTTAGACTGAAATGGTTCTTCCTTTCTCTTTAGATAATTTCCACTAGATGGCAGCAAAGATTTAACTATTAAGGAAGATACCGTGCAACAGAACCTTTAAAAGCAGAAAATAAACTTGAGAGATGGCTTTGCAGTTCTGCAAATGAAGACTATTGAATGAAGAGAGGCTGACAGAGTTGTGTGAGGTCTCCCCTTGCATGAGTACGGAGGCTGGGGTAATGGGTGGCTGGGGAACGAGGGGGTTCGGGCACAAGGGCTTTTGTGTTGTGAAGACCTGGGCAAGTCCCCCTCCCTCTGAACGTTCCTTCTTCATCTGTGAAACACAAACAACAGCTTCCTGTTAAGTTGCTCCAAGAAAGAAAAGAGATCCTTTCCTGTATGTGCTGTCCTTTCCATAGTACAAGGCTGGGTACAGGTGAGTCCTTGAGGAAGTTTCCCCCTTCTTGCCTAGGAGCGGAGCTAGGACTGCAACCCAGGCTTCTTGACTCTGAGCTTTGCCCTCTTACAAGCACCTTAGCATCCACACATAGCAGAGGTATAAAAGGACCACAGACACAACTTACAAACAATGGCCACTGATACCATTCTGCACGGACGACTTTCAATGCATGAGGAGGGGTCCACACACACGGTGTCCCTGAGTCTTCAGAATCACACCACCCAAGTGCGCTACAGTCTGGAGAGCCCTTCTGACCTCACAGGTGGTGTCTACCACACTCAGATTCCCAGTGTCCTGCCCAGTGCTTTATGGAGGGAAGGTATTTTCATAACATTTTCTAGGGAAGTGATCACCCAAGCTGAACGCTTCCAGCTGGCTGGGAGCAGAGGCTGGGGCTAAGCTTGCTTTGTCCCGCTTTTTCAGGCCCCAAACAATAAAAGCTGCCCTCAGGTGTTTTGATGTATTTCATAAACCACCTATCCCTCTCTGGAAGAAGCTATGACCTTCACTTGAGCCTACTGCCATGCTGGGGAGAATATGAAAGATGCCAAGACCAAAGATTTGGGCTGAGATGTTCACTCCTTCCATGCTCACTCCAACTAAGCTCTTTTAGACAAAACAAAACGTCCTACGTCTCCATCTTCATGTTTTTCAGCTGTTGAGAAAATTGTTTCCACATCACTGGAGCAGCTGCTGATAAATATAGAAAGCTGGTGATTGGCACTGGAATTATCATCAAAGTCAGAAATAGGTGAATATGGAGCAGAATCAAGGAAATAAAGCCCACTAGCAACTTGCCAGTGTTCTTCCAAGGAGAAATAATGACCTACTGTGAAAAACAAAAAAATCCAACACTTTGCCCCAAGCCCTTTACTCTTGGCACCAAGAGCCAGAGCAAAGAGGGGATTTGGCTACTCACATCCAAGGTAAACTAATATCCACATTTATACCTGGTTCCATATTTATTTCACTTTGCTCAAGAGCAATAAATATCCTCAACAACAGGCATCCCACCTGCTCCTTTAATCGAATTCT